ACACTTAGAGGTTCCACTGATTATTGTTTTTCTCTTTTCGAATATTTTTTAAAAACAGTTTGTTTCAGGGTCTCTTGTTGATCTGAAGCACATTACACATGGCTTTTTTGTTTTGGCCCTGATTTTTTTCCATCGTCAAAAATATCAAGAGAGGCCCCCCATTTACAGTGAAGTGCAGTTAACAGCGTACTATTGCTGCAGAAAAACAAACAAGATGTATTGGATTATGATTACAATTAGAGTGAACATTTGTTTAAACCAATTTAGGCTTTTCTTTCTATAAAACTAAAACATTATTGTTCAGCACAAAAGAAACTCTAAACCTTATAATGACCTCATTTATTTAGCTATTTGACAAAGACAGGACAATACTATTTAACATCTACCATGTGATGATGGTAATGTTCAAAGGAGACATACAAGGTATCCAATTAGGTATCAATATGGACAACCAACTTAACTCTCTTAAATTCAAAATGAAGTCATGAAGTTTTGCCATAGTTAGCTAACTGAGTTAGCCTGATTTGACTGCTGATTTGATATGAGTCTGGATATTTTAAGTTCTTCAGAGTTGGTTTAAAGTGTAGGCTGCTGTAGTCTGAGCTGCTGTCACATCAGCTGACACACTCACTGCTTTCAAACGTGGCTGTTAGTTTAGGTCACAGGTTTCCTTCAGAGCAGCTGTGGTTAGCTTGAGTCTATGTCGGTTGCAAACCCGTTGCGATGACAACGAGTTCCAGAACTTCCAGAGAGCTAGCGCTAACTAGCTGCTAACTGCTAACGGTCACTAAGCGGCTAACTGCTAACGGTCACTAAGCTGCTAACTGCTAACGGTCCCACTAAGCGGCTAACTGCTAACGGTCACTAGCTGCTAACTGCTAACGGTCACTAGCGGCTAACTGCTAACGGCTCAAATCTCAGCTAGCTACCAGCCGCTTACTGGCCGAAATGTTAAATGTAAATTTGTTTTAGGCTAGCTGAACACAACAGGTGTACTAACTACAATCACAGAAATATATTTATTAGAAATCAGTGTGTTACTGATTTATAGCATCAGTAAATCCAATATAATATTATAATGAAATTAGCCATTCTGCATAATGAGTAGAGTTTTTTTTAATGTTTTGTTGCTAAAACGTTGTACTTTTACTTAAGTATAAATTTTAAGCTTTTCTGAGCTTTTAAAACTATTATAACATCCCTGTCATACTTAACCTGAATTCATATAAAGGGTGTAAAAAGGTATTTTCCTCTAAATATAAGGTGTGGCAGATATTATTTGCAGTACCAGTAGGCTACTTTATGCGAGCTACATTGCAAAATTTCAAGTTGTAAAAAGTTAGATTGCAAGTTACATATTGGTATAATTGTGCATCACTGAAGGTTAAAACATGGCTTATTTTTATTCAACAATCCCAGAGCCAACAACAGACAGACTTCCCATGCAGGAAGTGTGCAAAAGGAAATGGTCCCAGACTGTATCCATTGCATGGTGTTGAATCAACTCAAGCAATATTTATTGATATAAACTGAGGTATTTTAACTATTTAGGAAAACCCCTCTTTTAATTCAGAGTATGTGATCGAGCTGTTGATCTGATTTCTATTAAATATATATTTCTATATATAAGTAAATACAGGCAGCAGAAGGGGCCAGAAGGAAACCCAGCTCACACCACTTAAGCTCAATACCACCATTTCCTCTGTAATTATACACCTCCAGCTGTGCCTTAATCAAAGAATGTGTGTGGAAATATAATTAGCATGTTAGCATAATGCACATAATAAAGAGGTACTTGTAGTTGTCTTGATCTCAACATCAAAGAGCATGTTGGTTCCTTCTCAGGGCATTAGTATCATACAAATCTAATTACTCTGGGTATTGAGTTACTGGATTTTATTGGATACTTGGAACAAATACAAAAGAATGTTTCGACAGTAGTCTGGCCTTCCAGTGAAAAACGACCATTACGAAAAGGGCAGACGCGAGACAACGGTGAAACAACATACTGATAATGTGTGGTCATCGGCTCCTCAGGACACATCAGGAGGAATTTAGTTTTTCTAGCTTCATGGCCCTCCAGCTGTGGTGACACAAACCTGCCCAGTGCAGACAGTCGCTTGACCTCGATATCTAAAATAGCATCCAGTCCATTACTGTGCCTGTGTCCTCCCGCTAAGCTCTAAGACTCCACAGAGTGAAGTGCAACATCAAGTTCTCGTGTAGAAAGTCCTGTGAACATCACTAGTCTGAACACAGAAGCAAAAGCAGCAGCAGTGGCGGCGGCGGCAGCAGCAGCAGCAATCCAGCCTAATCCAAATGAATCCGGGTCTCCCAGGTTTGTTCATCCTGGTTGGAGGGTGATGACTGCTCTACTCTGCTGGGGTGCTTATCTGCTGTCAGTGGTCGGTGGCTGTACAGGCCTCGTGTTATCAGGGCTCAGCCTGCTCAGGGATTGGAGGGCCTATGGAAAGTAAACATAGAACCTGTCCTTTGCTTATCTATCCCAGGAGAGGGAGTGTGTGCATTATATGTGTGTGTGCATGTGTGTCTGTGTGAGGGAAGGGGAGAGAGAGAGAGAGAGAGAGAGAGATGCACAGAGACAGAGAGAGAAGCTTGTTTCCATGGCAACCTCCTCCTTTAACCCCCCTACCACCCCTCCCCTCTAGAGGAGAACCCTGGTGGTCTTTGTGTAATGCGATTCCACTAGAATGCACTGTGGATTAAAGCTGCACTGCCTTCGGGCCCTAAGCAGGGCAACAGTGAAGACATTATTACCCAGATCAAATGCTGTAATCACTAGGCACTGGGGGCTTTCACATCCATTGCAGATAAAACCTAGGACTGGCAATACTCAGGTGATTAGGGGATTATTATTCTGCATTTCAGCACGGTGCCAGTCCCTCGCTGTTGGGGGAAAAAAAAGAAAACCCTGATTCTCTGTGTGATGGATGGGGGAGGGCAGAAAACAGAATGCCAGCCAAAAGGACTAGCCAGAATACTGGTGGACTGTGATCAAGGCCTGGCAACTAAAACTAAAAAAAGGACAAAAAAAATAAAAATAAACCCGCACTAATACAGTGGTTTGCATGTGCAAGCCCACATATATTGGCATTGCAGACCCCCATGGATTTTCTGTACGGTCTTTGAATCTTGGCTTTAACAATACACGTAGAAGTAGAGAATTTGGCCTATATTCCAATGTTTAGAGCTTCTGTATAACACTTAGGCCATTCTGCACAGTAAGCCCTCCAAATAGAACAGGGCAGCAAAGGCTTTTGCATAAGAACCTGCTGAAAGCCCTCCATTGAGAGGTAGATCAGCGGAAGGCGAGACAATGACCCCCTCAGTGTCCAGCAGTAGGCACTCAGGAGGTACAACCTTTCATCTGCAGATATTCCACTGTTTGATTAAGTGAGGAAGAAAATTCTACTTGAGCAAGGAGCTTAAACTACAAATGCACACAGGAAGTACACACTTCAGCAATGTGGGAAGAGAAAGACTATAGCCTTTAACAAATGAGCCCGTGAGAGCAGAGCATGGCGGCTGGCTCCATGCTGAAAGCATCCGGCCCTGCTTTTATAATCTAACAATAACATCTCTGAAGAGGCAGCCATATGAAGGGCTCACAGCTTCACGCACAGAGTCCTAGAAGAGCCTTGCTTTGGAGTGGAAGGACTGGGCCATTCACCTCATCCTGCCCAAAAGTACTCAACTACCAAAAGACCACTCAAGAGAACTCAAGAGCAGTGTTTGCGTCATATTTCTGAAGTGGCACTGCTTAAAAACTCTGCCTGATTGTATCACTCTGAGACGGCTGTGCGGTTTCAGTGCTGCCACCATACATGGATACAACACAAAAAAAGTGGCAGCTGATAGGGACCACAGTTGGTTACAGTACACTGACTTTGAAAGTTCACCCCTCAAATATTAATGCAAGCTCAGTAATTTTCTGAGTTAAAGCTTTTGCCAGTGGTCCCTAGCAACCTCCCTAACAGCACCCAGGCTGTCTTCCTCTCATGTCTACGGTTCTCCTGAGACAGTTGTCAGCTCCTATCTGGATGCATTTACAGCCATTTACTGTCAGTAGGAGCCTGTGAGTAATTCTGCTGGATGCAGACTAGAGCAAAGAAGAGCCCTCACTCGCAGCGCACAGGGCAATGAACAGTTTAAGGACACATTTCTGGTTTACTGTAGAGCCAAGAGACATTCAATACGTGCAGTGTATCTCCCCTCGGTTACTGGTGCACTCAACAACAGTTGCTGCTTTAGCTGGTGTAAACTCGCTGTCCCACTGCTCGCTACAGCACAAAAGCAAATATTCATCTGTATTGGTAAATCTGAACTTCTTTACTTAAAGGAATAGTTTGACATTTTTGAAATAAGCGTATTGTTTTCCTGCCGGGAGTTAGATGAGAAGATTGACACCACTCCCATAGCTTAGGTGTGATAAATATGAAGCTACAGCCAGGAGCCAGTTAGCTTAGCTCAGGATAGAGTTGAAACAGGAGCAGACAACTAGCCTGGCTCTGTTAAAAGAGGCCTCCTACCGACACCTTTAAAATTCACTGATTGACACAATATACCTTGTTTGTTTAGTCCAAAAACCAGTGTAAAAAAAAAAAAAAAAGACACACTGTGGTTTTATCCTAGGTTATGTGCTGGACTATTTATTAGCCTGGAGCAGTGACTTCCTGAAGTCTTGTCATCACTATGGAGGTTGCCAGGCAACCAGCAGAGATTCCAGGAAATTACTAAGCTTTGGAGTTGCTCATAAGGCAGATTTTGTTACTTCGGGAAGGAGCAGGGCTAGGTTTCCTCATGTTCAGTCTTTATGCTAAGGTAACTGGCTGCTGGCTGTGGTTTCATATTTACCGTACGTGCGTTATGGCATTTGTGTCAGTCTTCTCACTTAACTATGGAATAGCTTATTTACCAAAATAACTAATTATTCCTTTAAAGAATGCATCACCACCACTATAGAAATTCAGTCAAGATGATTTTTATATAAAAACAGTTTATTGATTTATCAACAACTGCCAACTGTACAATCCTTAGGGATGATGAACGTGTATGCTACACAGTCTAACTTGTGTTTATGCAGAGACCATTCCTGTCTATGAGAAGATTGTAGTCAAATATTATGAAATACTGAAGAAAGCAAACAGAGCATAACCAAAATGTCAAATGTGGTGATGGCTTTGCCTGCCACCTTCATGAGTAACCGTGTAAGTCTTGCATATCAGTCACAGAGAGTCAAACAAGAGAGGCAATAATTAACTCTTGACTGATGACTAAATTTCGCTGAGTGGAGAAATGAAGATTCATACAATAGTCGAGTCAACAGGCTGAAATGAAGTCACAGCTGCTTCTCCATAAAATCCACCAGTCCTCCAGTTGATAGTTATCCATTTTAATGTCATAGAAAGCAGCCAGTTTTCAGTGATAGGTCTTCATTTCAAAGGTGAATTTCTGCTGACGAGGGTCAAAGTGTAGAAGTAACTGGAAACCATGATTTTCTCCTTCTTCCAGTGTGAAAAAAAGGGTTTTTCCAGAATTCTCCACTGCTAAAATCCATGGGACAAACGTATGTGTTACAGCAAATAGCGAAGGAAAAAAATGCCGTTGTCAGGGAGAAAAAAAATCCAAATTAGATTTCCAAAAAGGTCATTCTGGACAACGAACATGAAAAAAAAGCAGAGGAGGGAAAAAACTGAAATAAAATATCCTCTTACAAAGTCCTAATCTAATTTCCATCCCCAGAGGGGACAGAAAATCACGGAGAGAGAACAAGAAAGAACCATCACAAGCGTAACTGGACACCAAAATATAAATCTATAAAAGGCCTTTTATTACTCCATTATGTACACTTTTCACAGGACCTCCAAGGAGAAGCTCCAGAGCGAAGCGCCGCTTCTAGTTGTGCCATGGAACTTTATCTCCACATTAAAAAGGACGAATAAAAAAGAAATATCCAACAAACAGAAAAACAGCAAGACATTATTTTCTTCTTAGTGCCTTGGGGAACTGCACTTGCTGTACAAGTGTTAGTTATATGAGTGAGGAAGGACAGAGCCAAAAAGGTCACAGCATCCAGGGCCACAACAGCGCCAACGTCCATTTCAGTCTGGCACTGCCAAACTTCCTGCCCATCCACCCCGGGGCTGCAGGCAACATCCATGCTGTCTGTGTGAGGGAAGGTAGATGGAGGAAGAGTCTACTGTTCCTGAGCATGAGCATGCTCTGATCCAAAGCAGTCCGTTCTAGTAGATCACTTCATATACAGTGGCCTTCTTGTCACCAGAGCCTGTCACAATGTACTTGTCGTCTGTTGAGATGTCACAGCTCAGGACAGATGAGGATTCCTTGGACTGAGGAAGAAAAAAAAACAAAAACATTAGTCATAACATTTTAGTTTTGACGGCAGTTAACATTTTCAACTATATTTGAAGTTAAGTGGAGAAGATTAGCTGACTACAGGGCAAGATTAGATTGCAGTGACATCAAGTGCTGGCCTGATGCCCCTTAAAAAGACTTCTTTGTCAGGTCAATAATTCAGGTTCAGTTTTCACTGATAGGAGAGTCCTGTCAGACAGCGGTCGCTGTGCCCTTCCTCTAAGAGACAACTGTGCATACTTTTGGACTGACTGCAGACAGAGTGTATTGATCTGCATACCTGGAATATGCTGGCGCCATAAGGAGTCCTCCAAGCATTCAACAGATTGTCCTTCCCAGTGCTTACGAACCATTTACCTGCAAAGAAAACAACAGTGCAATCAGGACTCCTTGGACTAAGAAGTTGTGGAAAAATACCTAATAATGAAGAGTTATCAGGTCTGTAACCTTGAAAACACAATAGACATTCAGACTGTAAAAACAACACTGTAGTTTTAGCACCGAATAAAATAGGACAGGCTAAAGCCCCTTTGCGGTTAAGTACAGTCAGCATTATGTCTCCCTCATTGTGTGTGTGTGTGTGTGCGCGTTCATACCACAGTAGGCGAACTTGAGGGAGAGGACACAGCTCTCGTGCAGGTGGAGCTGATACTTGTCAGGCTTTGAGTGGTGGAGCACCTCCACATTACTGCTCTCCATGCCCACAGCAAGCCACTCTCCGGTCGGACAGTAGCCCAAGGAGAAGATCTGGAAGTGAGACAGCAGTAATTACTGACAGTTCTGGGGCAAAAAGGTAACTTCCCTCCACAGTGAGTCTGTGTTATCCATCTCTTCTATGTTACTGGGCTGCACCTGTGAAGTGAAGTCATGCTGCTGCAGCTGTCGACCCTCCCTCAGATCCCAGGAACGAACAGTGTTGTCCAGACCGCCTGTCCACAGTTTAGTGCCATCATGGGATATGTCAATACAGCTCGCACCATCCGTGTGACCCTGGAACTGCCTACAATCAAAGTCAAAAGGCAGAGAAACATTTATTGACATCTCTTAAAATTACTCAAACAACAGCAATCCCGTTGTGGGGATCATAGCCCACACAATGTGAATAAGTGCTTTCTTCTAACCTAACGAGGGTCTGGTTGTGCAGGTCCCAAACGGCAATGTTTCCATCACTGCAGCAGGAGAAGCAGACTTTGGCATCGGGGCTGATGGCCAAGGCATAGCATGCCGGCGCTGAGGAGGTGAGCTCTGCCTTGATACGGGGTGTCTGAGAGGCTAGATCCCAGATGGTCAATGTGCTGGCCTCACCTCCAACAATCAATGTGCGGCCATCAGGCAGCAGCTTACAGGAGCGGATGTAGTTATCCCTGTTCTGTTGCACAGAGGACAAAGTGAATCAATACATGTTCAGGGCAGTGGAGCTAGAGAGAGATTTAGGAACAAGTCGGTGGGAAAGAGGATGAAAATCCTTCCGTCATAATAAACCAACCAAAGGGTATGCTTAAACCTACGCCGTTATATTTTTCAACAGACTGGACATGTTTTTAAGCTTGCTGCATTTACACATTTATTCAGTGATGTTCACATTTCAAGCCAACAATAATTTATCCCGAAAATGTCATATGAGATTTATCATTTTCTTCCTTGTTCGCTGTCTTCTATTTTACATAAACACTGACTAAAAGCATCAGCTGCGTTTGCGTATTGCTACATTTGCTGGAAAACAGTTGGACGTGTGCCTGTTGTGGTCCTATGTATAACAAAGGATTATCCCATTGTTAACGGAATAATGTTGCGTATAAACAGTATATTACCTTTCAAAACAACTGAAAAAAAGGATTAGGTGTAAAGTCGTTGATGAGTAAAACGTGAATCAGCAGCAGTCCTCACCAGACAGTCCAGTTGGGACACGGGGCTCTTGCTGCCAGGTTGGCTGATGTCCCAGATTTTGACACAACCTTTGCCACCAGTGTAGACATGACGTGTTGGGTTGCTAATGGTAACAGCGCACACCACCTCGCCGTGGCTCAGCGTGTTGATCTGACGGGCGTGGCGGGGAATACCGGGACCGATCAGGGCATCGGGCGGGAAGGGCACAGGCTGCATCTGACCATCTGCACTGACGTGAAAGGAGTAAGCCCTGGTGGAGAAGACAGACACGTGTTAGTATTTTATATTAATGCTGTTTTAAAAAATGTATATAAAAAACACATTTGGCGAGACACTTACGGTTTGCCACCAGAAATGGATGTGAGGCTGGCAGGAAGTCCTGGAGCTCTCATGTGGCTGTGAGGATCAAATCCTCCCTGAAAAATTACAAGATGGAAAACATTAAATAACAGTTCATTTACTGACCAGTGATCACAGTCAAATCCACATGGTGTTATTCTAAAGGGAATAGTTTTACACAGGCTCGTAGAAAAACAACTCTGTAGCGCTACTAGAAGGTCTAAAACTCCACAGGGGACCTTTACGAGATACAAGAGATGTATTGATCTTTTCATACAACTCTCTGCAAGTGAATTAGTGTATTTCCCAAAATGTCAAACTATTCTTTTAACTATGTGCAGTGCTTTTAGGTGATGCCAAATACAGCAACCAAACAGGGCAGAAAAGCGGTGTTACCATGGGGGAGCGTCCATAGGCTGCAGCTGCTGCAGCGCTCATCTGAGGCGAGATGTGCAGACCAGCATACACACCAGGACTAGTCAGGCCTCCATTCATTTCATGATGGCCCATCATGGCAAAGGGTAAACGGGCTAGGCAGGCCTAAGCGATGAGACATGCAAACGGGGTAAGGACAGCGGTTGCTGCTATGGACAATGACAGGAGAAGGATATTGGTATGTGACATAACAGTGCATTGGGAGAGGATGGAAAAAAGATTATCTCAGTTGCTAGAGAGGAAAGAGTGGTACCAACCAAGAGCCTCCATGCCTGGTGGTTTGCCCAGGATGGGTCTGAGCCCAGGAGTGGAGCTGGTGCCAGGGGTGGGGGCGTCGTTGCGGGGGGTGGGGGTGTTGGACTTGAGGCCAGGCGTAGAGGATTGTCAATTTGTTGAAGGGAAAGCGAGAGAGCAAGCATTCACAATCCCGAACCAGCTGTGCACCTGACTGACAGATACAATTTGAGAGCAACTGAACTTAATACCAATCTAATTCTGACAACGCTCCCCATAGTCCTGCAGAGCCATATAACTGCCTAATATATATCTAAACCTATTCATGTGGCCCCAATGGGATGTGGTGCGTTTTATCCCGATTTACTAGCTTTGGCTATTAATGCTTTGTAGTGAAGGCGCAGAGGGGGAAAAATCCGTGGATAGTTATGCAATATCAAATTGAGCTAATTACACAGCAGAAGACCTGACTGGCTCTGATGCAGACGGGAGCATCATTTATCCTGAACAGCTTTACAGTCGCAAATATCCCACACTGCCTATGCATTTAAAGCAGCAAGAAGCCAATTAAACCTCTCCAATCATACAGATCCACTAACATCTGATATATCCAACCTTGTATCTGACATGAATAT